TCTTCAATCTTNNNCAATCTTCTTCCTTGATATTGTTCTTGCTTCCCTTTGATTTATTAAAGTATGCCCACTTTTGCTCCTTTAATCGTGGGTTGAATTCCCCCCTAAAAGTGGTCTTTAGAGTTGTATTTAAATCATCATGAAATCCTAGAAGGGTTGGAGTTGTATTAGTCCAAGAAAAGAGTCCAAAAAATTCAAAAACTTATTTTTCGCACGGCAACGCCTCGGTGCCCATGATTCTGCTGATTTTCAGCGACGATGGCGCTTCGGTGACCGTTTCGATTTGAAATTCAGTACTGTGAGTCCTTTAGTATTTTTATCACAATTTTTTCTCTTGATGTCCGATTCAGGCAATTCAAGATGAAAAGATAACTCAAAGGGCTACAACTTTGCTTCAGATATTATTTTCAAATTCAAATGTTTGCTATGTTAAAAATGAGTCTCAATATGAGACTTCAAATTTGGAGCATAACTTTTTCGGTTGGAAAATAATGTGTGATCATATTTTGACTATATTTGATNCAATCTTCTTCCTTGATATTGTTCTTGCTTCCCTTTGATTTATTGAAGTATGCCCACTTTTGCTCCTTTAATTGTGGGTTGAATTCCCCCCTAAAAGTGGTCTTTAGAGTTGTATTTAAATCATCATGAAATCCTGGAAGGGTTGGAGTTGTATTAGTCCAAGAAAAGAGTCCAAAAAATTCAAAAACTTATTTTTCGCAAGGCAACGCCTCGGCGCCCAATATGGGCACTGTGGTGCCCATGATTCTGCTGATTTTCAGCGACGATGGGGCTTCGGTGACTGTTTCGATTTGAAATTCAGTATTGTGAGTCCTTCAGTATTTTTATCATAATTTTTTCTCTTGATGTCCGATTCAGGCGATTCAAGATGAAAAGATAACTCAAATGGCTACAACTTTGCTTCAGATATTATTTTCAAATTCAAATGTTTGCTATGTTAAAAATGAGTCTCAATATGAGACTTCAAATTTGGAGCATAACTTTTTCGGTTGGAAAATAATGTGTGATCATATTTTGACTATATTTGATCCCTTTGACTTCTTTCTTTATCCAATTGACTCCAAGTACTCTCGAATCTTCATTTTTAGGTTCGATACAACTTTTGAGTATTGTACTTTAATCTCAGAACTTTGGATTTCTTACAATTTAGCCATCATCTCCAATTTTGTGAACTTTTGCTTATTTCCTTCAATTTCATCAACTTATATCATACTATCAAAACACTCATTAAAACTTAGAAATAAGTTAAATGTCAAATTTAGATGATATCTAAAGTATGAGTGAAATATAATCATCACCTGCCGACCTATAGATTGACAGGTCGACGCATATGAAAGGATGATGACCCATCGGGGATCTGAAGCCACCCGTCCCCCATCCAACGGTTTTCCTCTTCCTTTCTCTAGTATAAATTCCTCCACACTATGATACGTGAGGGGTTCTTATTCTAATATTTGTATTCTAGTCTTTTAAGTCTAAAGAATCTTTCACTATATTTACACACATTCTCAACCACGTCCCGAAGATCACTGCATCGCCAAGCACCACTTTTCGGTTGACTGAAATGCTAACTTGGGTCGAAGTGCTCGCGATCGCTTCCACCCTCACCGAAAAAGGCCACGAGTGACTAACGGTGTGCTACTGTGCTGATGAAGGAGCATACGTGAAGACTTATTTTGTTGGCCACATGTCGGAGCCATTTTTTGAGGTCAACACCTCACAGCCAGCGATGAAATAGTTTGCTGATAACGTGGCATTCTCCAAAAAATGTTCCTGGGAGCAAAAAATTAAAATAGGGGATCAGAAGATAAAAAAATAATCAAACTTGGGTGTGAAATTTAATACTACCTTCAAATGATCAAACAAACGCTGGTTGATCCAAATCAATTAATAACAATGGAATAAATACTGTAAATGAAAGATAAACACTTCCCCTTCCAATATCACAAAGATTGGCACCAAAGTGAATTGGACATGACTCATATCAATAACCTAATAACATACGAAGTAGCTCTACAAGAAGGAACCAAGAATCCCACTCAAAACCTCGAAAGAAACCACTTACGAATAATGCAGAAAACAGTCGCACATAGTAGCAGGGTGGGGGCATAGCGGAGCATGGAAGAACTAAGCACAATATGGACGTAGCTATTAGCCAAGATGACGTGAAAAGGTCTCACAAAGGGACCGCACGAATAAGGTAAGCAACCGAAAATCTCAACAAAAGGGGCTTAAGGACAAACAGTGTGTATGTATTGTATCTCATTTGGGACTTGAATGTAATACTCGATCCAACTTCTTTTCGTGGGTCACCAATTGTGTGTTATTGGGTCGACTATTTAAATAGTCTCAATAATATGTTCCAAATGAACCCTTTGTTTTTAATCTGATCCGACGAGTTATCATCGTCCTAACTTTATTTGGTATCAAAATATCTAACAAACATCTGCTATGATGCCAAATATACCTGCTAAAGAGAAAGAATTAGTTTAATGGTCGTACAATGTGATTTCAAATAAAATTGAAACATTAAATAACTATGTCGATGTTTAGAAGTGTAAGACAGGATTGAAAGAATAAGCCCCTGTTTGGTGATAATTAAAATCTAGATTTTAATTAAATTTAAAGTCAACATTTAATTTTAACTACATATTTTATGTGATTCACAACTTTTCTACCATACATTTCATCAAATTTTATAAAATCTATTAAAAATCTAATTTTAATCACCACCAAATAAGAACTATATAAAATGGCATTGGATCGAAAGAATATATGGGGCCGAAAATCATGGGATTGAGAAAGCATCCCTCAATGGCCTAAGATTAAAAGAATATTTGGGGTTGGATTTCTAGCTAAAATTATTAGGGATTGAGAAAATATTTCTAATAAAAAAGGCCACACAACTATTATTTTGTGTTTGTTTGATAGTCTTGTGGCCCTTTTTGGTTTGATTTGACTTCATAAACGAAATTATTAATGCAAATTATTGTACAAAGTTCTATCATCAAAAGTTAACACTCACATCCAAAATCAAAACTATAAATCTCGTTCAACGAAAACAAAAAATTCAATCTTCATATTATGCCTGATTGGTAAATATTAAAATTCAGATTTTAATCTAAATTAAAATTAAAAATGAATTTTAAGATATTTTATGTGTCCCACAACTTTTCAACTGTATATTTCATCAACTTTTATCAAAATTTACTATAAATCTACTTTTAATTCCTACCAAACTGGGGCTAAATATTGTCTAGTAAAAATTATTCACCAAATTACAAGTAGACATAAATAATAAAAAAAAAAGTAAGGATATAATCGTTGTTGGTTCTAGGCACTGAAAGCTTAATTGAACCAAATTCGAATGGTTCTTTGTTCTAAAAATCAGATCTGTTTAATATTTAAATTGAATCAAATCGAATCGAACTTGTGGGTTCTGATATTGGTTTTGGTTCTTTTTTCAACCCCCACATGCAAATTAAAATACGAAGTTCTATCATCAAAGCTGACCCTCACATCCAAAATCAAAACTATAAATCCCATTCAATGAAAACAAAAAATTCCAACTTCATATTAAATATTGTCTAGTAAAAATTATTCAACAAAATTACAATTAAACATAATAATAATAAAAAGGTAAGAATATAATTGTTCTTGATTCTAGGCACTAAAAGCTTAATTGAAGAATATAATCATTCATGATTCTAGGTACTAAAAGCTTAACTGAACCAAAATTGAATGATTCTTTATTTTAAAAAATCAGATCTGTTTAATATTTAGCTTAAATCTAATCAAATCGAACTTGAGGGTGCTAATTGGTTTCGATTCTTTTGTCATACTTGTATTAGTTGAGTTATCTTTGAATCTCATGACAAATCCGATAAAAGTTTGTTTTTTTGGAGAAATATATGATTCATATGAACTTTATTAGACATTTTGTATATTACAAAATTTTAAAATATAATTA